AAGCTTAGAAAAAAATAAATTAAAAAAAAAAAAATATATATATATATATATATATATATATATATATATATATATATATATATATATATATATATATATCAAAAATGGACGTAATATCAAAGGATATAAAAATCTATGTACTCACGATACCAAAAGATTAAATAGATAAATCCCTCTTTATTAATAATATAAATGAATTCGTATCTAATTTTATCTTATAAAATTAATTATTTTAAAATGAAAATTGTATTTATTATATTTTTATAATATAAACACATATATAATTAATGTAATCCTCATATTTGAATAATAATTTAATTATAAAAAAGTATTTAAATAATCGATTATAATTTGAGTGTATTTTTATTTGATTTGATATTTAACATAGGATTAAATATTTATGAATTAAAAAAATACAAAAGAGTGGAAGGAAAGCAATATTTTGAGAAATTAGCAAGAGTGAAGGGATGTTTAATTAGGCTTAAAAGTTGAAGTCATTGATGGTGGAAATGATTAATTTTGACAAAGCACAATCATTTTGGTCTGCCACTCCCTCCCACTCCCGTTCTCCAATGCACAGCAGATGAATTAGGCAGCTGTTAAATTAATAAATTTAACTGCTGCATTTTTCTTTATTTTCTTCAAGGAACGCGGATCACACCTAATATTAATCAAATATTAAATTAAAAAAATTAAATTTATAAATATATAAATAATTATATTTAATAATTATTAAAATTTAAAAGATTAAAATTATAAATATAATATAAAATATAAATTTTGAAAATAATTATTAAATTTAAAAAAATTAAAATCATAAATTTGAAGTAAAATACACAAATTTTGAGACATAAATATTAACACGATGAAAAATAAAATTAAAAAAATAAAAGGTACAATATTAAACTTTCATCCAAAAGAAAAAAAAACACGCAAATAAAATACTAAATTGTAAACACAATTCATTATTATAATTTTTTTACAATTTATAATAATAAAAAATATGAAGAAGAATAATAAATATTTTTCTTTATTTTAAAAAATGTCTTAATTCTTTCAGCTTTGTTTTCAAATTATGCCCCTAAATATTATTGACAAGAAAAATCAATACTTTCATTAAAAAGAAACACATGCATGGCATCAATCAATAACAAAATTTTAACATTAATTATTAGCCTAAGTAACGTATGTATATTACTTTACATATTTAATATATGGATTGGATATTAATTAATGTTAAAGTGTTGATATTCAACATCAATTTCGTTATAATGGATAATATCGATTTTTTTATAATTGATGTTGAATTTATAAATTTTCAACAATATTTTTTTCAACTATCATTTTAAAATAAATATTATAAATATTGTAAAACTGATATTGAATATTTTTTTTATAAACAAATAAAATCAATTAGGACGAGTACAAGGGTACTCATAATATAAAAACAGAATACATTACAAAGTAGATAAAAGTCATTAAAAAATACAAAATACATAAAAAACACACTAAACAAAAACAGATTCAAAGATTATTGTGTCAGTTTACAAGACTAAAAGACATTTTTATATTAATCGAAAAGATCCAATTCCAAAAATATAGACGAATAGAATCAATTAATTCTAACTGATCCACAACGCGTTATTTAAATATCATACAGTTTTAAAGCAACCAAATGGATCATCTCAAATAATAGCATACCGGTTTTCAAGACCGAGGCTATCAACTACTCAGTCATCTCTCCAAAAGCTAATTTATATCTATTTTAACTTTATTCCACCATGAACATATGAATTGATGTCCTTTCTATTATCTATCCATCAGAAACATATTCAATATGAATCTATTTTTTTAGTTTTCTATCGGTATGTATATACATGCAAAATCCAAGCATGCCTTTATGTGAAGTAAAAAAACGATCATCGATCCAAGCCTCAAAAGTTCTGATGATGAATATGATTATTGTAATAATAATAAAATATGAATATGATTATTGTAATAATAATAATAAAATAAATATTTGATAAGAAATATTATGATAAAAATATTGGATTTACTTTAAATTATATTATTATAACTTTAACCAAAATTTTCTTTCATTATCTTTAGAATTTGAGTGACACCGTGGTCGCGAAAAACTTATTTTATATCAAATATGCTTAAATCTAATCCATATTAATTTTTTAACATGAAAAATATATTCTTCAAAGAGAAAAAGTATGTAATATTATTTTAATGGCACGCAATAGAAACAATTGAAGGTTGAAGATGTATTGTATGAAAGTTTGTTGTTTTGTTCCCATATTACAAGACACTTCCTGTACCCTAAAGTTGAATCAAACCTCTCAAATAATATTTTATCGAATCCAATCCAACATAATGGCCAACCAGATGATTTCCATTGCATGCATTAACAACTATATATATATATATATATACCAGATGATTTCCATTGCATGCATTAACAACTATATATATATATATATATATATATATATATATATATATATATATATATATATATATATATATATATATATATATATATATATATATATATATATATATGTGGAAGAAAAAAAAAGAGGAAAGTTCTGTAAAGATCGTCCTATGTGAAGGTCAAACTTAGCATCATCGTCTATGGGAACTCAACTTAATCAATTTGCATGAACTGAATTATTAGATGAGAATGATTAAGAGAAAAGGTACATTATAACAGATTTACAGTGACTGAAAAAAAAAACAGAAAGAACTTTATAATTATGTAATTTATATTTTTTGTTTTTATAAAAAATACTTTTAATTCAAATAATATTGTAAACAAACTATCTAAGCATATTTCATTTAGATCACGTCATCATCTAATAAAATAATTTTATTGATAAATGAATTTTTATATATATTTTAAAAACCCAATCATCAAATATTTTTTATAAAATTAAAATAAAATAATAGACACTTATTCATTAGATTTCTGATATTTATATAGTTTAAAAAGTAAAAAAACGTGATTTTTTTTCTCATTTATGAAACCATATATAACTTACACGAACAAGAATCATATTTGAGTTATGAAAGTAATAAATGTTTTATTTGTTATTACAGTAAAAGTTGTGAACAATTCCATTTTGATTCATTCTTAAAACTTTATACTGAGAAGTTGAAATTAATTAAATAACCCATTAATTAAGTTTTATTTAAAATTAAACTGAGACCACTTTGGTGCAAGTTTGTTGCCACCAATTATATGGATACACGTAGGAATTGAAGGGTAACTTGTTGTTCTTAAAAGTTAACTTTTAATGGAAATTTAACGATGGAGATTATGAAAGTGCTAATTATGGTAGTAGAAAAGAAAGCAACAAGAAGAGGACCTGAAGCAAGTTGCACAACAAGTCAACATCAACAGTGTAATTTATAATTGATGCAAAAGTTTGTGCAGAAGTTGCAGTCGAATTTCATGGAAACCCTAGACACATAGCTTTCTAGTTCCAAGGTAAAAAAAAAAACACTAGGGTTTCGCTTTAGGCCAGAAAGAGAAAGACTGCTACCCTCAGAACTCGCCATTAAAAATCGAACTAACTCATTACTCTTCAATAACCTTTTTCACAGAACAAATATAAAAAATAAATAAAAATAAATAAATCGAAAGCAATAATTCAGACCCTTCTTCTCTGGTGCTCAGAAGAACTCGTATCTTTTTGTGTATAATACTTATCAGTCAACAGGTCAAGGCTCAGACAGTAATGCCTTCAAAACATGCGTTACGAACGTCGTAGCAGAATAGGTCCTTCTGAAGAAAAGCCTACAAATTCTAGATCAGTGAACCAGACCTGAAACAATTAATGGAATCCAAACTATATATTATTATTATTATTATTATTCTTACTATTACATCATAGTTCTATGAAATGAAATATAATAATAATAATAATAATAATAATAATAATAATAATAAAGATTTTTGTAATACAAATATATAATTGAACAAATTTTGACACAGTAATAAAGGAGAGAGAGAGAAAGAAGAAAACAGTCATCAGTATCAACCCAAAAACCCTTGAATCTTCAAGGGTAGAATACAATTTCTCTAAAAAAATGTATTACTAGTTAGATCTCGAGGCCAATATCCAAATTTTGATGTTCATATAGCAGAAGCCCTTGATTTTCCTGAGAAAAAATACATCTAACAAGAAATTGTAAGCACTGAACAGATTATCATATATATCAACTCAACCAGTCACTGCAGAGATTCATTTGCTTCTGGGAATCTATATTATTGCAAGAAATTATGAATAAATACAGCTGATATGACTAGAACTGCATTGGAAAAACAAATTGTTAAAATCTCAAAGATTGCAACTTCAACTCCTGATGGCAATTTGAAACCATGCAACAAATCTTCCTTGAAGAACTTCTACCAAATTCTTAGATGAATAACATGTATTAGAATTTCTTACAAATAATTACAATTTTTTTTCTGCGAGTGAAGTTCTTCCACCACAAGAGAAAAGAGGCAAGCTTTTGTAAATTTAAAGTTCAGACCATCAAAATACAAAGCAAAAACTCCAAACAACATCCACAAGAAGTTGAAAAATAACTAAAAAGTACAATCCATTTAAATCTCCATTCTTGTTTTGACATAAATCGATCATAAACAAACAAAAAAATTAAGTAGGAAAAACAGAGAAATAGCTTGCATGAAGTTATAAAACTGAGATAGGAAAAATAAAAAGAAAAAAAATCCATAGTAGGAAATAAAAGTTCCAGTCAAAATACATTTAAAAAAAAAAAACTAGCTGGTGAAAGTAAAATTCGTACACTCCCAATCGTCATCATATCTTTCAAGATCTTGATTTCTGTACCAGTATGATCACAGCTAACAAATCAAGTAACATTCAGAAAGAGAGTGAGGAAGAAACAAGCATAGAGTATAGTTTTCAGTGAGTCTTGCAACATGCATCTTTGATGATATATACAGTAAGAAGAAGCCGTGAAACTCAGGATAGATAGCGCCAAACAACACCATGATGTGAAATCATGGCGCTATCCCTCCTGAGCTTTACAGATTCTTTCTGTATTTTCTCAGAAGCTACACTTTTTTTCTCAGATCAAAGAGTGGGGAAAGTTTTTGAGAGAGAGTGAGATGAGAGATATTGATGTATGGGGAGGTTGAATGAAGGGTGGAGAGGGCAATTTATAGGAGAAGACGAAGGAACGTGGCAATTGAAATGTGAAGATCTTGGAAAAAGGGAAAAGGGTTCTTACTTTTGCACCAAATACATGAAAGTAGCAGCTAAATTAGACTGGTAATCGAGCATGCCATGGTTAATGGTGCCACATGCTTTTGTGGCTGATTTACTGAACAAGGAACTTTTCTTTTTCTTTATTTCATTTATTTTGTTGAAAAAGGTTACCACATAAACTGTTTTTTAATCGGTACATGCCGACTACGGTCTATTTCTTATACAAAAAAAAAAAAAAGGATGTATAGATAAATGATGAGAAGGGGTCAAGTGGAGTGGAATATGAAATTATTAAGGTATAAAAGGAATATTGGAAAGTCTTTTATGTCACATTTGGACTTTTTTTTAAGAAGAATGTTTTGAAAATGCCACCTCATCATTATATATATTTATGATTTTATTTTTTTAGTAAAAGTATATATGTGAAAAATAGGTTGTGGGTATGAAAAATTATTAAATAAATTGTAAGACTTGTATAAACTTTAACCCATAATAATTAGGGTGTTTAAAATAATATATTCAATTTTTTTTTACTAAAAAAATTAATAATTCAGAAGAAAGGTAATAAAAATATATTATAATAATATTTAAAATTTTAAATAGTAAAAAAATGGAAATTAAAATATATAATATGATGATAGTTTTGGCTTCTAGTAGTTTAGAATAAAATCAGATTGAAAACAATAAATACTCAAATGCTGTGAACAAGAATAAAAAAGTAACATCACAGACAAAATCAATTTATTTTTTTTAATCAAAATAATCGTGATAGATCAAAGAAAAAATAAAAAATAATTATAAAATTTTAGACGGTTGAATCTAGAACCAAACATAGACTAACGAGTGGCTTCACTCATAACCACACAAAATAAAGATAATACTTTTTATAAGAATAACGAAGAATCTTTTACATGCAACGGTCAATTTTTTACTTTTATTTGTTAAAAAAAATAAAATTTGTTAAAGATTGTCTCATACATAACTATGATATAAAGAGTTGCAGAAAAAATAAATTGGACATTGATTATAGCAGTTCTGTTAATATCAGTTATTGGTTGCTCGTGCATTTTCTTTCAGTTGATTGGGTTTTTTTTCGCATGCATGCTAACAAAACTATTGGCTCAGTGGTTCACGAGATCTAAAGACACTTGCATGAACCTTTTGAAAATTTGAAAATATTTTTCGGTCTCCAAAATTTATTTATTTTTTAAATAATTATTTAAATATTTAAAACAATATTGATGTTGAGAATTGAAAATATTGTTGTGAAAAATAATCTTGTTGGGAACCATATATAATTAGTAAGCTTAAATGTGTATATTTTTATTATCATTATTACTTTAGAAAACATACAATATTTTCAATTCAAGAAACATAAAATAAATAAAAAGAAATCACAATAATTAAAAAATAATAAAGTTATTTTAAAATCACAATAAGACTTCAAATTTTTATTATTATTATTTTATTATTAAAAATGTCACAGACTCAGTCTTTGCAATTAGGTACCTATTATTTAAATGTTACTCCTACTTAATCTCATATATATATATATATATATATATATATATATATATATATATATATATATATATATATATATATATATATATATAAGATTTTATGGAAATAAATGACTCAAGGATGGATTCTTATGAGTAGAAAGAATGTAATATAAAAGGGTGTTTATACATGATAATAACTTACTTTTAAATTGTTTTTTCATTCACTAAAATTTTTTATATTCCATGTGTTTTTTATTAATATTTTATATAAAATTGTATAAAATAAGTTTGTCATCAATTTTTATGGAAATTTTATAGAATTTTAAAAAAAATTACAGAGATAGTTTTTTAAAAATACAGAGAAAATTCAACAAAATATGAAAAGTTATAGTTATTAATTTATTTATTTTTTTAATTTTTAGATAGACAATGATTTATAGTTTTTTTTTCTAGTAGTGAAAAGCAAATCTAAAAATAATAGCATATATAATTAAATTATAACTATTGAGCCAATTCGTTAAACATAAGAATGAGTGATTTTGAAGTAACATTTTTATAATAATCATTAATTTAAAAAAATACTTATTAAAATAAATAAATAAACTACTCATTTTTTAAATAATTAGATTAAACAACAAACATATGAAAAGAATGATTTATTTTATCAATAAGCACTTTTTAAAAAATAATACAAACAAAATCACATCTTTCCAATGTGTTAAAAAAATAGAGCTGTAAATAATAGGTTTAAAAACAAGATGAAAATAGATTTTCAAATCATTGTTTGATTATTTATATTGAAAAAAAATAGTTAGATCATTATAAGAAAAATTAGATTTTTTCGATTTCAAGATTTAAATCCAGTATCTTAGTATTGGAGATAGATACTACAACTATTAAGCTATTACGATTTTTAAATAATAATTTACAAATAAATTATATTTATATACAAATAAATGTATATTCGTGTAAACATATAGATATAAAATATATAATATAAATATTTTTATATATTTTGATATATTTATATATTTTAAATATTTATCGACGGATATATCTATCCGTAACTAATTGTTAATTTACCGACGATATATATTTGTTAGTAATTTTTATCAATAATTATTATTTTTTGACTATTACATATTCATCCATAATTAAAATTTTGACCATATATTAAATTTTATAATTCAAAAGAATAGTATATATTTATTTCTTATTTTATTCGTAGGCAATTGTAAAATTATATTTATTATTACCTATTTAATCAGAAATAAAGAATTACTTATTACCAATCTAATATATATATATATATATATATATATATATATATATATATATATATTATCCGTATTTTTTATAATTAATTTCTTTTAAAATTTTATTTTATTTTTCTATTTTATATCAGTATTCACTTTTTTATCTATTATATTTTATTATTTTTTAAATATATAAATTATAATAATTAATTTTTAGTTTAACTGTAATACAATTATTTTTCTTTTTATTATAACATAAAAAAAATTATAAAAAGAATGTCGGAATTATAGATGATGGAAGAAGATATTTTCAATATAATCCTAATTGGAGGTAGAAACAAAGTTATTAGGAAGTATTTTTCATCGTGGGCAAACTTTCTTTATTTTCTTGTTTCCCTTCTGTTTATTTTAAAGATAAAGAAGAATAGTAAATTTTATATGGTTAAAACGTGGTGTTGTATCCTAAACTTAGAAAAATAATAATTAATTAACACAAATCATGGATTAGTAAAAGTGGGGAAGAAACATCTTTACAAAATGAATTGAGTATTTGATGTGATTAAACACGAAAGATTATATAATATGTGGTTAGGTTGTTCTTAGAAGGAGAAGTAAAGAAATGATCACAGACCCATTTGAATTTTCAAAACAAAATGATTCCCAAAGAAGAATATTTGCTTTTCAGGGAAAAATTTGTCTAAGAAACTTGTTTGTATTCTTCTCATCATAAAGTTCCTGTCTCCACGTTAACTCACTGTAGAAAGGAAAACAAAATGAAATCATATTAATCCAAATCTCTCTCTCTCTCTCTCTATATATATATCTTAAAATTTGTATGATATTCCAAAAAATATATATTGTTTCAATTAATTATTATCATAATAAATTTAATTAGAATACAGTTTTTTTTAATAAGTTTGCTCGACAATACATTTAAAATAATTAATTTTGTTATACATGATAAGAAATTCAAGATTTACATAAGAAAATAATACACAAATAAATGTGAAGATTATTTTGGTGATAAATAAATCATAAATTACAATTTTTTAATTTCGTAAAAATAATTTGTTTTTTTTATTAATTTTAATTGATTTCATAAACATTTCAACTTATTTTATAATTTATAATTTATAATTTATGTTACATAAAAAAATAAATAAACTAAGAAAATTGATAAGATTTATCTAAAGAAATCTAAAAGAAGGAAAATTAAATGGTTCAAAATTTTATAGATGGTCTTAAAATACTAAATATTGTTTTGTTTTTATTTTAATTCTGTAAAATTATATGATGATTCTGTAGGATTATCATTTATTGTTGGTATCTCTTAATTTATATATTTTTTTCCTTTACCTATTAATCATCAATAAAGAATATGAATAATTATGTTTTAGTTTTAATGTTAATTTTAAGTGTTTAAAAGTCATTAGCTATTACCTTTTCATAAAAAAATATAATAAAAAATAAAAATTCAGAAACATACTTTTGTTATACCAATAAAGGTTTTGAGGTGATTGCAAACAGAATCTTAAACACAATCTAAAGTGTGGCTCCATTCATCATGCAAGTTACGACTGAAATAATAATAATATATATAAAGATTGTTAAGTATGGTGCTAACATAATAATAAAGATTATTAAGTCATGATTATTAGTTTTTTGAAGCATTAGAGTCTTAATGTTATGACAGTTGGTTCATACTTTCTATTTTTAAATAATTAATGACAAGATGTTTATTAACTATTATCTTCACAGAATTAATGAACCAATCAATAATAATAATAATAATTTATTATTAAGTTATATTAGAGAGGCATAAAAAATCATGGTGTCAAATACATCATAACATTTAAAATTCCCACTTTTTATTAAGATATTGTTAATTAATGGATTAATGAGTCAATAATAAATAAAAAAGTAGCGTTAGAAATTAAATTAGATATTATTTAAGAATATGAAATGGGTGAGTAAATAAATAGTATTTGTTGAATAAAAATCTTCTACTTTCGATTTCATTAACATATTGATTTATCATTTTTTTTATGATATATTTTTTTTCACATTTAATGTACTCGTTTTAGTAAAATAAAACATTTATTGCACAAATCAACCTATGTGATAATAAGTTGAAATGAACTAGGCATGTTTGGTTTGCGAATATTTTATGTTTAAATAACAAAATATTACCTCATTTTTATTTTTTAAAATGTGTAAAATTAATAAAAGAGCATATTGTTTTCACTATTTTTCTATTAAAATTAATCATTGTATAGAGTATTTAGAATTGCAATCGTAGAATTGCTTTATTTATCCGAAAATGTTGCACGATAATATGGTTTATGTATAAAGTATAATTTGTTAGTTTTTAAAAACTAAAATATAATAACTATTTTTGTTATTTGAATAGAAAAATACGAAAAAAACTATTAATTTTTTAAAATGAAAAAAGTAAAAATTATTTAAAAATTAATAAAAAAACAAATCCTTAAAAATTAAAACAACACTTCAAATTAACAAGCAAGAAAAAATAACTTACATTCAAATCTGAATTCTTCTTTGTTTTAGCCGAAGAAAATCTCCTTGTAGTTTCATAAGTTAACTTTTCAATAAAAAAAATTGTTTCTTGTGTCCATTGATGTATAACGTCTTCGTAACTTACATGACACTTCATTTTATTTCAAGTTATAAGATCCATGAGTATGAATGCATTTTAGTAACGTAATTATTTTACTCTGAATCTATGTTAATGTAAATATAGATTATGCAAGTAAGTTAATTTTATAAAAGTTTAGACAATTTGTGTTAACTTAATTTTAATAATAGTTTTATTATTGCCGAGAAATCTCAATTATTTTTTTATCAAAATTAAGAGTTATTATTATAATTAATCAAAGAATTCGACTTCATTGTATTAATATCTTTATATTTATCTCAAGAGTAATGGATTATATAATGTTAGTTTTTTTATTAGTAAAAGAACATACTTGGTTTTACTAGTCTCGAGATTGAGTGATTATGTAATATTATTTATTTGTTTGATTAAAAAATCGATTTCAATGTATCAGTCTCTTCACCTTCAACTTAATAGCAAGGGAGTGTGTAGTGTTATATTTTTCAGCAGTCAAAGAATGACCTCATTCTATTAGCTTCTTCATATCCACCTCAAGTCTAAGTAAGAGGTTGACTCATCTTATATTATATGCGATCATCCTTAATGATAATAGTGACCCACAACTCAAGATAAAAACTCGTAATCCACCACTCCACATAAGTCAATTGTAACACTTAAAATAAAATAAAATAAATAAATATATATATATATATATATATATATATATATATATATATATATATATAACTTATCTCTTCGTACAATATTGAATAAAAAATAATATAATAAAAGGAAAATAAAGATCATTAATAAGAGGAGAAAAGAAAATGAGAAAATGTTAATGTAGATAAGGTTGGGGTACAGTGAGAAGAAAGGGTAAGAGAGAAAGAAGAAAAAAATAGAGAAAGGGAGAGAAGAGAAAGAGAGAGGAAGAGGGAGAAAAAAAAAGATAATTTGAAAATAAATTTTGATGTATTATAGATTGTTAATATTTTATTTATTTTATTTTAATTATGACGATAGGTGAAGTATTCCTAACTTTATTTTATTTATTATATTATTTATTTATCTTCCGTTACTTATTAGTTTTGTTTTATATTATTTATTTTTCTCTAGTTATATACTTATCTAATTTTATGTTATTTATTTATTTTCAGTGACTTAACAGTCCTACCTTATATTTATTTACATCATTTTCACTCTTGTACTCATCCTGTTTTAATTATCTCAAGTTATGTATTGATTATGCTTTATGTTTATTTATTTTATCTTCAATAATTATTTATTAATTCATATCTATATATTTTTTTAAATAATAATACCTATTTATAAAGATTTGATGATATTATAGATGAAGGTTGAATCTTGAGGATTGAAACAAGGAAATAGAACTGAGACAACGATTAAAATTGTACTTATTTATTCTGACTAATCACTACAAATTTAATTCGAATATCTATAATATGGAATAAATAAAATATGTTCAGGAAATTAAAAGATATCTTTTATATATCATTATAAGATTATATTATTTTAAATGATAATTGTTCTCACTTCCTATTGTGATATATTGTGTATATTATATTTAAATACCAATTTAAGTAAATAAAGGCGTCAAATATCTCAAATCACTTGTCTACAAACATTACCGTCTTGTTTTCAGGAACTACTTGAAACACAAACATTATTGACAACTCGATTATTTTTAAAAATATGAAATATATAGTTTATAAGGAAATATTTAATAAATTAATTCTTATTCAATTAGTTCGAAGTAATAAAAGTTTAAATTATCAATTCCTTTAATTCTTTAAAATACAATTATTTTATTAAGATAAAATTTGATATATGATAAATAAAAATAATAAGATAAAAAAATATAGCATAATAAAACCTAATAAATATAAATTATAAATAAAATAATATTAGTTACTACTAATATTTATATAAATATTTAAAAAAAGATAAAGAATAAAAAAAATTAACTTTATGTTCATCAAGTTGGTTGAAAAGATTGAAAAAAAAACACATTTGATGGGAAAAATTAAGGAAATGTGAAAAACTGAAAGATAAGAGAGAGAATAATGTAATAAATTAATTGATATAAAAGATTAAAAAAGATAAAAAAATTTAAAAATGGGTAAAAGAAAAATAAAAAATAATAAAATATAAAAAATGACTTTATATATGTAATAGAAAAAGAAAAGGAAAAGGAAATATTTTTAAAATATTAATATTTTAAAAATTAAATTTAAATATAAAGTCGGGACAGGATCGGGATCGGAGTGAGGATTGCATTACTCATCCGCGCTCCCGCTCCCGCCCCAACTTTTTAAAACAGGGAAAATCCAAACCCGTCTCCACCCCAATTAACTCAAATTTCCCTCATCAAATTCAGAACAGTAACGGACTCTACAAGTAAAGGTTTAATTATGATCCCTAATAAAAGATTCAGAAAGTAAGGTTAGTCCGAAGAAAAATGTTATATGTTCCCCATTTCAAGCCCTCTTTTGCCGTTTCATGAATTGTTTCTTTTGCAATGGAAGTTTATTGCACAATTACTTTTCCTTTAGTCAGAGTCAATCTTCCTTTTTCTTCATCTCGATCTTGAATTCTATGTACGAATCTTTCTTCCTCATCTTCTTGTCTTGTAATAAAAAACACCATCTCATTTAGGTCTCTACTAGCTATGGCCATTTTCATGGAAATAACATTTTTAAAATATATTAAACAAATATAGAAAATATCACCTCTACAAACAAGAAATTGTAACAACTATTAACATATTATTGAAAACTAAATATTTGAAATGAAAAGTTTGATGAAATGAATGGCATCAAATGCATTATTGACCACACAATATTGGTAGGTGTGCAAAGCAATTGATTTGAGATGATGAGGGTGAACCTCACAATTGACCTTGCCATTAATTATGCAAAAATATCTCCCGTGTACCTGTGGAATATATATATATATATATATTATGAACAATTTTTTAGTTTTCTCAAACTTTATATATGTGATGTTGATCTTTTAATTAAGTAAAATATAAAAAAAAAAATATTCCTTCTTTTTAAAAGAGGAGAGATATATATATATATAGAGTGAGAGAGAGAATTGAAATTGAAATTGAAATCTTTATAGAAGGAAGTATTTATAATTATGTTTGATCGTACTTTTGAAACACTGTCTCTTAAAAGAGTATTTGTAAGAGGAAAAAAAAAAATCTAACCATGCACCTTGTTCCCTACATTTTCAAACCACGTGCATGCTATATGAACACATTAGGCATGGATGTGACAGGCTTATCCTTTGCTAGTCTTTATCTCAATTGGGCATATATGAGATTTAAGATAAAATGAATGACCAAAATTTGATGGGATATATAGTTGGTTGAATATAAGGTGTAAAGTAAATAAATTCGGTTTGAACATGGAGTGACAATAATATAACATAGAGAAAAGAAAAAGTGTGGGTGGTTGAAAAAATGGAGCATCCAGCTTGGAAACTTAAGAAAAAATGTCAGAAAAGATTATGTTCCAATGGTTATGGTCCCCTGCACTGTTTTACTACAAGTAGAAGTAGAAGGTTGTTGTTCAATGCTACATCATATCCTACCCTGCCCCATTTTAAGCCAAACATTGTTTCAATAACTAACACCTTTTATCTACAGATTCATAAAAATTGTTCTGATAACATAGCCATTAAACATTTTATTTTTTTGTTTCAAAATAATATAATAGTAAAGAACTCACTTCTTTTGAATTAATTAGAGCATCACCAGAAGATAGTGGCTGCAGTATAGTTAGGGCAACTCCTGCTTTAGTGAGCTTACCAATCAAGATGGCAAACTAGATAATTTTTTTCATAAATACTTTAAAAATTAAGAAAATTCTATATGAAAAAATATTGAGAGATAAACCTATTTTATTTTTCTTATTTTTTTCTTTTTTAAGTGTTTATGAAAAAAAAATATCCAATAAAACTTGTCTTCTTTCATATGCATAACTCGCATATCTCATGAACTCACAACCTGACCAACTATTACAGTAATATCGTCAAGCTTTCCACCTGTTGTAATAGAAAAATTGAGGCCAGTCAGCTACATGTGAGAAAAAAGAAAAAATGTTTTGGAATATTTGATAACATACCTGTAAGCTTCATTCCAAGAATCTTCTTCCATAAGGGGGGCTCAAAACCCTGAAAAATTGTTATGAAAACACAAGAAAAATAGACAGTTATTGCAAATATTGTCAACAGAATATTATCCTGGTTAATCGTTGCAACTCTTTTCAAGAATGAGAAACTGATTTCCCTAATAAGAAGTTATTTCCAAAATGAATCAAATGATAGAAAATTATAAAGGAAGGCATTATTTTCTATAAACAAATTAGTTATTGTTAAGCAAAAGAAATCTAATGATAATCTTCTTTTCTTACCCTAGACCTGGCTTCCAACGAATAGGGAGAGTCAAAATTTGAATCCAATGCATGACAGCTTGCCAAGTTAGCTAATGACTTTGCTAGCAACAAAATAAATTTCAAATTAGTGAAACGAAATGATCATCAAAATTTCCCAAGCTGGTTAATCAAGAATTTATACCAGCCTCTGCAACATCTTTGTATCTAACAATTGTTGGAACAATTTCATGATCAAAAACATTGTCAAAAAGGCCATCTGATCCCATGACAATTATGTCTCCTTCCATCAACTCTACATTGCATACCTGTTTTCCTGCAGAGGTTAGTAAAAGAAAAATATAACAGAAGGACCACATTTATCTCAACAGGAAAATGAGACTATCCCCTTTGGAAAGTGATGTATTAAGTTCTGAGTCAATAAAGGTGATACATATATTACCTTAAAGGATGCTTAAAGGACAAATCCTGGAGAGGATTAACACGTGTGGACGATAATAAAGGAGTCTCTATGCCTCCCAAAACCAAGAGTTTGAGTGATGATAACAATACAAATGTAGTTCTTAATTAGTACAGGATTGTTCTAGGAGGTACTTGTATTAACTATTACGACTTGTTTATTTAGACGTTGTCTCAGCCATAAATTTGTGTGTGACAGATATTTTTATTAGAAAGCACACGAATTGATTTTTCATGCCAAAACAAAAAGGGACAGTTTTACCCCTCTCCCTCTTAGATTATGTGGGAAAGGGGAGTTAGTTTTTTTTATAAGATAAGGGCAGTTAGTTAAGACAGTTTAGATGATGATTAACGCCTCCTCTCTCCCTTCACTGAGTCAAGTTCCGAATCAAAAAGAAGCATAGGCATGACATGACTGAGCAATTTGACATACCAAAAAAATAAAAAAATAACATCTTGCATAGTTTGAAGAGTCAAGGGAGAAAAGAAGGTTAAACAATAGTAGTAGCAATGATTGTTAAATGGTACCGCTGCATCAAGGTATGTTTGGCCAACCCTCTCAGAGCTTAGTTGGAATGGACAGTCAAAGTAGTGCTCTTGGGGAGAAGTGGAAAAAACTACACGGCCTGAAAAAAGCACATCAGGAAAATCTGGTTATCAACATTGGAGAAGGAATCAAGTGTTCTGGAGAAAGAGAAGTCCAGAAATTAAATTACATTGGGCAAATTGCATAAATCTTTCAGAAAATATTATGATCAGATGAAATATAGCACGTTATATTACCATTACGGATGAGTTTTAATCCACAATCCCCAACATTAGCAATCTTCAGAGTCCCATTCTTCTCCAGCATAGCAACGATGCTTCTTAGAAAAAATACAGATGAGGTGGTAGAAACATCTAACATGGAAGTCAATGTTCGATTATTTTTCTCCAAATTGGAAATCCAAAATAAAATAAGTTAGACTTACACAGTAGCCGAGCCTGTGGAGGAAGTAGCAGCATGTGCTTTCCTTATAAGAATTTGAGGATCATAGTTCACCTGCTAAATCCATAAATATTCAACATGTTTGTGTTGTTAGAAAACAGCATTGCATGCACAGACGCATTCTTATTTATATTTCGAAACAAAATGATTCTAATTTAGCAAATTCCTCATCAGAAAGTGTGTTTATGCTATGCTACCTCCTCATCTCCTACAAAATTGGAAGCATTAGCAAGCAATTCACGAGGGAACAATGAAGGATCCACGTCCTCTTCAGCCCAACTACGACACATAACAGAAAAGTACCATTTAAGACAGGTTTTGCCATATCACAAAAGACAATATCTCGATATGAAGAAGCAACGCAACACCATTTAAACTAACAACTAATTATCAAAATTAAAGCTTTTATGTTCTTGGGGGTTCTTTCTTTTTGGTTTTCAGTCTTCCACTGTGCAAGAATCAGATACTAAGAAAGTAGCATACCCAGAGACCCCATCAGCAACGGCAATAACTCCCCCATTATAGTTGCTAACAAAGAACGCATCTTCCCCACCTGTCTTAACCTTTAGTAAGAAAGACTGGGACTTAGTTAGCAAAGAGAACATGTGTTCTATGTGTCTACAATGATGTTATTATTCATAAAAAAACAAAGTATGAAAGTGGCTAGATAACCAACTATTTGAGTTTAGTTGGATTGATATTTGCTACTACCTTTTTTGGATGTGGAATGAGGCAAGTCCCAACACAAAATGATACTTCCGACCTACAACCTCAGCAAAAGAAATCGAGCAACAAAATGTTTAAGAAAGGTCCAAAAAGCATCAAGAATCAGAAAATGAAGAGTTGCTCACCGAATTAAAGGGTTAAGTTCTGAAGAAGAAAAAGCAGAAGAAGAGAATACCACTCTTTTCCTCCTCTTAGCAGTTTCATCAATAGCAGATAGGGAATGAATGAGTGGGTGAGATTGAGAATGAGAAAGCATTGCAGCTCTCAACAAGGGAATTGCCATTGTTTCCGGCTTCAAGCTCTACCCTCACTCTCCTTCACACACTGCCAAAAAAATCAAGTTTATTATCATTTTTATTTTTCCAAAATTAACTATAAGTATAATTTTAAATGTTGATTAATAAAGCAAAAGGCACCAGTGGTCTAGTGGTAGAATAGTACCCTGCCACGGTACAGACCCGGGTTCGATTCCCGGCTGGTGCAAAATGTTTTATTGTTTTAATTCCTTTTGTTCTTCAAAACATTTTTATTTACCAAATTTCATTATTTTTTTTCTACAAGTTATTCACTACCTCATTGTCTTTCTTCACACTCTTCACATTCAATTCGCAGAAATGAACGGTGGCGCCAATCATTTTATCGAAGGTAAATAATCCATCCATTATTTTCCTTCATTTTCTCAGGAAAAAATTCAACCGCTTTTACGAATTTGTAGATAACGGAAACGGAAGCGACTCTGATGCGAATTCCGATGACGCGACGGAATACTACCAGCCGATCTCCGCCGTGGACGACGACGAGAGCTCCAATGGTGGCGAGTTTAGGCAGCTGCCGAACGGATTCTCCGTGCACAGCGTGACGGAGAACGGGATCTCGTCTCTGGATCTGAACGACGTCGTAGACAAGAGCAGCAGCGACGAAGAGGAGGAAGAGGACGAGAAAAGCGAAGAGGAGTTCGATAGGGCAGTGAGAGAAGACGATAACCGTCGGAACGCGCCACTCACGACGGAGAACGCGACGAGAGTGATGGAGGCGATGCGCGGAGTGTCGTTCGCCGGAGTGGTTCCGGATTGGGCAGCTCGAGATCCCGATGATCGCTGGATTGATCAGCTTCGTAGATTGAGAAGATCGCCAAACACTTGATAGAAAATTAGACACTCAGATTCGTGCCATGTTTATGTCATTGCTCAGAATTTGTCTTCATTTTGTTTTTCTTCCTCGTCGTTCTTGCACGCATTCTAAACGTGTGTTTTGGATGAAGATTTAGCAAAATTGCATTCAAAATAATAAATCATGTTGGAAAATTTTGATCCTAACAAATTTTATGTCCGGGGCATTCTCTTCAACTTTTTCAAGCATCTTAAATGGTGTTATGTATGACGCATTTGTTACGTATTATTGTTCCTGATAAGCCTTATTCAATCTACTTGCATTAACAGAGTTGTAATGTTTATCAACATAAAGGCTAAAAACTATATTTAGCAGACAGAAAGATAAGTTTAATGAATTAACTCGATATACGTTTAAAATATTACAAGAAATGAATATTTCTAAAGCCGAGTGTCCGATCACTTTATCCAACTCGTTCATGTTAGTGTCGATCCGTGAATTATAATTTAACTTCAAATCTTCAAATCTGACAGTAGTTGCTCCTTGCTAGCAGAGTTTCATAATCCATTAATATCTTGATTCAGCTCACGCATATTTTTTCATGGAAAAAAAAATGTTATGTTACTTCTGTTGGAAGCAGAATGAGCAAGGTCCTATTGCCTTCTTAAGCACCAATATTTTCAATATCAGCGCCTTTGTCCATTCTTTTGACAATTCCAGCAATAACCTGAAATGAGTCCAGTAAAACAAAAATTAGCAATATTCAGATCTATAGAACTTCGAAGATTAACAAGCAGTTCCACAATGTTGTAATCATTCCGGTACCATATTACCTTTCCGGGTCCCAATTCATAGCTTTTCTTCAGACCCTTGTTTAGAAGGGTCTTCACCGTTGTTTCCCATTGAACCGGTGATGTAACCTGCCAATTGCATTACAGATGTAATTACTTCCCCTTCATGGCTTGATGTAGGACAGAGCAAGTATCACTGGCATACCTGACGGGCCAATGTCTTCTTTATTGTGTCAGGATCTGTATGCGGCTGTGCATTCACATTGGAGATGACTGGTACTTTTGGGGTTCTGATTTCTGTAGTTGCCAATGCTGCTTCCAATCTTGACACAGCTGGTTCCATAAAACTAGTGTGGAAAGCACCAGCAACAGCCAAGCGAACCTGCCAGGGAGGAACAAAGGCATTATTAATTTGGGAAAAGGTGTCACTGTAAAGAAAAGATTAGGGGCAAAGTCATACTGTCATTCTAGCCTTGAAAGACTTTGCCTTGGATTCCAGCACTTCTACTCCTCTAAATCCTCCAGAGACAGCATAGTTTCCCTAACAAAACAACTACTGGTTAACAAATCTAGCAATCGACTTTGACCTAAGCTTGTAACTAGGTAGACTCAAAAACAAGAACCTTACTGGACACAGATAATTGGCAATCTGAACCTTCTCAGCTTCAGGAACTTCCTCATTGGCTGCATCACACAATTGTTGGACCTTCTCCGAGTCTAGTCCTATCACACTAACCATAGCACTTTTAGCAGCATTAGCGGCATCCTGGAAAAATAACAGAAGTTATCCCCAAGATATACAAATTCGAATGCAGAAAAGTTGAAGTGACATAAGAAACTAGACCAGCAACCAGATATTGCTTACCTGCATGGCCTCACCTCTCAGTTTGACCAACTTGAGTCCATCTTCAAAGCTTAAAAATTAAATTAAATATATGGGGTCAATCACATGTCAATTTTCAGAAAGTTGAACCTCAAATAAAACCAATCAAAGGACATTTTAGTCACACGACTCATGTTCAAAATTGTAGGCGTTAGATAATATTCATTTCTTCATATGCTGCAAGCTGACGAAGAAGCTTTTAGGTGGATAATTTTCCCATAAGCTACAAACAATGATTTCATTGCAAGATACTGATGAGATTTGAAGCAAACAGCAACCCTTACGTCAATTACTCACATTAAGAAACCCATAGTTGAGCCACTCATGCACACCATTCAATTGGTTTCTTTATTGCCACTGTCATCCTCAAAGTAAAGTTTTTTCAAAACACAGAAGTGCCATGGCCAAAAATGGACAAGCTCACATGCCATAATTACTCATTATGCTGTTATTTTGTGAAGATTTCTTGATAATAGTAATTACTTTCGTAACTCACCTGAAAGCCCCAGCAAATGCCAGAGCAGTATATTCTCCCAGGCTTAAACCACATGTAACGTCCACTGAGTCAATAATCTGCTGACCACCGTCACGTGCACGAAGTAGCTCTACAGCAGCAAGACTTGTGACATAAATTGCAGGCTGGAGCAGAGAATCAGATGGTAAACATTGCATCTACGGCAATCTTTATTAAAAATAGAAATTTCATCAAGAACAGAATTATGAATTGATGCTGGTTTGATATCATAATCAGAAGAAGATATTTATAGCCAATACAGCTGTTTACTTCAAAAACAACCTTGATTCCAAAGAAGGAGATTTAAGGCAAGGTGAGGAGGGAACTGGATGCAGATGATCAAGCAAAGTGGCCCAGGTGGGATTTACCCAGGATCAAGGAGTTCAAGAATGAGTTGTGCCACTTGAGTTACAGCTCTGGGCTCATATTTCCTTTTAGATCTTAACAGCGAAGATTTTTTAGACATTTGCATATTTTTTAATTTGGTGAAACATATAGATACGGGCACAAATTTACTGCAAATTTTGAACTCGCTTCTGAAGTGATCCATCCACCAGAAATATTTTCCCTTCAACTTCCAACCGTGAAACATGCCTTGGCCAGTTATTTTGCATGCAAGCCTATTCTATAACTCGCTAATATGTTGGAATGATCTTCAGATTTTAAAAGTATCTATATATTTTAAGATTAATCGTTGAACACTTCACAAACAGCATGAAAATTTTCCAGCACACTTTTTTATATGCCATTTACGCACATAAAACATATGCCTGCTTTTTGAGTTTCAAGAAATAGCAGTCCAAAGATTCTTTCCTAACTGAAGGCAGAGAGTATCTTAGCCAATAAACATTAGTACACTAATAATTACAGCTTAATCTGAGTTAAATAACAATTCACCACAACATTATTGAACGATTTTTTTTTATATCCTTTACTGGACCGAAATTACGTACCATTTTTTTTATACTTTATATTAGAACAGAAGAAAACTTCATTGTTTGTGAAGTGAATGATACAATAACGAAGTCAATATATTAGGAAATTAACAATCCTTTCATCCTCTATCCCCCAAATTGGGGTATAGGAAGGAATGATATGAAATAGATTTCATTTCATCAGGTTCCAATCCAATTCATTCCATTATATGCTAAACAATTTAAATAATGGAAACTAATATCATTCTACACTATTTCCCTCTGTTCTGTCAATCCAAACACAACCTAAGCCAAATTAGAAAATAAGAACAGCCTAGATTGCCAGTTTATACTGCACAAAATAGTTTAACAAAGAGATTGAAATACATGCCTGGCTAATAACAGTTGAATCAAGTTTTTCTTTTGGCCCATTGATGCATATATCAAGAAGATCAAACCTGAACGCAGAAAGTACACCAAATGAATCACAAAAACAATATCAAAATGACTACAACTTTTGAGTTAAGTACCCCAATATGTCATTTGCCTTGCTGAACAAAGCGGCAGCAGCAGGCACATTCTGGGCCTCCTTCCCCATTCCAACAGCTTGAGCACCCTGAAACCACAGAAAGATTACATTCAAACCCTTGTGTGTGAGTGTTATGTGTATAATTCGAAATCGGAAACGACGTGGTTTCGAGAAAGTGTACCTGACCGGGGAAGAGGAATGAAGTGGAGACTTTGTAATCGGCAAACAGAGTCTGGTGAAGGGGAGGCTGAGAGCCGGTGGAGACGCTCATAGAAACCCTAGATCGAGGGAGAGGGAAGATGGTTCTTCCATTGGAGGAAGGGGCGAGGAAGGGGGTGGAGGGAAGAAAGAGAGTGGAAGACATTGCAGAGAGCGAAGTAGAAGAAGAAGTGTGGCGAAGGAGGAGAGAATGGTGAATCAGAGCTTGCATATGAAAAGAATATGATATTTGAAGTGGGTATAGAGATAGTTTTTGAAGGCGGAAATTACAAGAACAACGTTGGTGTTGGTGTTGGTGTTGGTGTTATTAGAATATTTGGGTTTCAAACAGGCCAACTACTTCACCACCATAGTTCATCATGATTTCATCGCAATCGCACAATCATACGCTCAAACCAACTAGCTAAAGCCACGCATGAAATAAACAAAATAAATTAGTCAAAGCATAAACCTAGTTGATATGATATCAGGTGAATTTTAATGTTTGATTTCACGTTAAGGAAATAATATGTATCAAGTTTTGTTTTACTTTAGATTCTTCGTCACTGTCCTCACCCAGTGAAAAGATTATGTAGATTTTTGTCACTCAATTAGTCCAAATTCAAGTTTTGGTAATATCACTTGAATGAATAATTCATATTAATATTATGGTTAGAGAAACATCATTATCTTAAAATATTCGTTAATACGATTTTATGTCAAATTTTATAAGTCAATTAAGTCTAAAATTAATTGAGTTGAAATATGATGAGGTGTTTAACGCGAGAGATAAAAGAAAAAGTTGTATTCAATTTTTTTTTTCAAACATTCAAACATAAATTTTATATTTTTAAAATCAAAATTTTGCAATGCTCATTTAAATATATATATTATTCAAGGGGTTAAAATTTATCTTTTAGTGGAAATAATTGAAGTAATATTTTGCGTTGGATAAAAAAATTTCTAAGTGTTAATTTATGTATGATTTTAAATGGTTGGTTTTTATGTTAGTATCTCCTTTTGTAATATACAAAAGAATAATAACTTAAATTGAAGTAAATTAATTTTAGTATAATTTGTTTATTCTGCCCAAACTAGTTTTAGTGGGATCGATTCATTTTTTTTAAATTTAAAAAAAAAAGAGGATAAATAATATTATTTTATCAAAATATACACATAAATTAGAAGTTAACTGTATTATATTTAATAATATAAATTATATCAAATAAATGTATTTTAAAAAAATTAAGTTATTTTTTAAAATAATTTTTTGTATTTTTAAAAAAATCAAATCAAAATAACCTATGGATTCGATCACCCAGTCGAATCAATTTTTTAAAACATTTAAATATTTATGGATTTTATAACCACTTATTAAATGGTGAATACATCTTAACATTTAGATAATTACATATATAGTCTAAAATATAAAATCATCTAAATTATATGAGAATTTAAAAAGCAAATTAATACGCAAAGTATACATAAATAACGTTAACTATTATTCTCATAAATAATAAAACTCAAAAATAATCTTATAGAGGATTTATTTATCACCTATATATAAATCCACATGGTCTTATGTATTCAAAATGATTATAACTGTTGAATAATCAACCAAAGACAAATGCAATACTAAATAACAATTTTAACTCCTTTAATTAAAGTATAGTTATTAAATACAATAATTGTGATTATGGTTTATAATTACATTCCAACTCTTTTAATTAAAATATAGAAAATGACACACAATATATTAAGTGAATAGAGAGTAAGCAAATGATGCATATTGAGCATTTCAATTAAGACTGTGAATATCCTTCACTCTGTTTGATCCACTCTGGACTATGTTGTTGACAAGGGTTTTGATATTAGTTTGGGATGAGCCATTGTGAGCAATTGCAAGGTGAAGCATGAGTTGAAGGTCCTTGGCTCTTTTCCTCATATCACTCCCAACATCACTGTCCAAATCCATGAACTTCCTGAGCAGCACAAGAATGGCATCTCTTCTCACCAGAGTCTCCAACTTGTCATCCTTCTTTACTCTCCACCCAACCTTCCAATCCTCCACAATGAGCCTGCTAATCAATGGCTGATCCATGGCAATTGGGAAGGTCAAAAAGGGCACCCCAGAAAATATACCCTCCATGACTGAATTCCAGCCACAATGAGTCCAATAACCCCCCACAGCATGATGCAACAACACCCTCAATTGGTCACACCATGCCACAACCAACCCCCTGTTCTTCTTCCCATAACAAATCTCTCTCAACCTTGGACTCTCCCCACGTGTCACCCACATGAACCTCACATTCCCATCATGCAATGCATTGCCAATTTCCTCCATTTGGGCACTTGAGATTGACAGATAACTTCCATGTGAAATGTACAAAACAGAATTTGGGGGTTGCCTATCTAGCCACTCCATGTAACCATTGTTATTAGGGTTGCATGATTTTTCACCAAGACTACAATATGGTATGTTTGGACCAATGGTGTAAATTGGAATTGAGAGGTTTGCTTTTAAGCCATCAACCACTTTGCCTTCTAACTCGTAGATTGAAGGCAATAAAAGGTACTGTGCTTTAGGAAGCCATTCACAACATTTCAATGCCCATTGCAAAAGTTTACTATTGTTCTCATTCAGAAGAGGAATATCAGATTCCTCAATCCAAGAAGTTGATGGAATATAATCTACAAAATTTCAGCATTTCAAGTTCATGCAATATAATCAACTCAATGAAGGTAGAGATAGTACAAATTATATCAATCTATAAGGAGTACAAACATAAAGAGAAATAAAAAATGTATATAAATTAAATAAAATTTAACTTGTGTTTTATAGTTTAATTACATTTTATGAAAGTGTAAATACTTTATAATTAAAAAAACGATGTTTTTCAATTACAAATTAATTTGTATAATAAATTTATTGATTCTTACAGTAATTATTTTAAAAAGTATGATTAATATAATTTCTATTTTTTTACACAGCATATAAATATTGAATTTGTTTCTTTGTATATTTTATCATAATATTTTGAATTAAATAAATAAATTGCATGTAAGTTACTATGTAAATATTTTCAACTTATATTAATGAAAATAATTGGCTTTTATTTACAAATTAATATGTATAATAATTTTATTTTTTACAACAATTATTTTGAAAAATCTACTTAATGTGTTTTTTAATAGATTGCTAATATAATTTTATTGCACAGTATTTAAATGATAAATTCATTTTTATCAAAATATTTTGAATTAATAAAAGTAATAAACAAACTAGTCTAACTTTTTTAATAAAAAAGTTGTTTTCAAATTTTATCATTTTTCTACAAGATTCCTTCTCTGACTCGAATTGCTTTTCCTTTACAAAAAAAGAAACAGATACGTGCTAACACATGGGTTGTCTCCTCGTACACACAGTAAATAAAAGATAATATCCAGTACTATTTTAAAGAATTTAATTAAGGAATAAAAAAAATTCGTTATCCTTCATTTTTAATAAAAAAATTGTATTTTAAAATCTTTAATATGGTAAGAATTATTTGTCAGATCCTAAAAGTTAAAAAGTACAAATTAGTAATACTCATTATCATTAATACATGCTAGTTACTCATTATTTCAATCTAATGACTTGTATTCTTCTATAAATATTTATTAAAAGTTCTTCTTATAATTTAATTACATAATTTTTTTTATTATGTATAAATTAATTTTAACTTATAACAAAGTTTACTTTATTTTATTCTTAAAAATGTTTATAAAGAACCATGTTTGATTTTTTTATAAAATAAAAATATACAAAATAAGGGTAAAATTAATTTCAAATAAAGTGAAAATAAGTTACCTAACATTTCTTGACGACAACGATGGTTGCGTTGGAAAAGATGGAAATACTGCACCCAGAGCTCCGCCGTGGACGTCGTCCAGAACGCGGCCACGGGAATGTTCCGGCGGTTGGCGAGGGCGACGGCCCACGAGAGAAACGCGTCGCAGATGAGGAACGTGGGCGGCGGACTGAGGTCGTCGAGGAGGCCTTGGAGCGGCGCCTCAATCTGCGTCATGACGGCGTGTACGGCGGCGTCTAAGGTGTTGGCGGAGGGAGCGAGGTCAGGGAGGGCGACGACCGTTATGTTGCGGGGTTTGGCCTGGGAGGTGGTTAGTGGGAGCCAGTGTTGGGTGACGAGGAAGCTGACGAGGATGTCGGGGTTTTTGGAGACGAGGATGTTGCAGAGGTTCATCATGGGGTTGATGTGACCCTGTGAAGGGTATGGCAGCACCAGCACGTGAGGTTGAAGATGAAACTCCATGGATTCAAATGGAAATCAACAACGTGGATGAGTTGTGTTGTATTGTATCTATAGGATGAAGTCACTCAAGTTTCTAGCCAAGGGATGTGTGTAATTACTATTTCAATTAATTAGTTAAGTATACTACTTAATATAATTAATTGCATTAACTTTGTTAATAATTATTAAAATAAGTTATTACCCGCGACCATTAAACCTGTAATCGTGTAAACTGAACCGTCCCACCCCAAGTTTGACGAGGAAAATGGAGTTGACGGGCGGGTTCCAATTTTTCCCGCTTTAAAAAGTTGGGGGCGGGGATAGAGATAGGTAATACAATCTCCACCTCGACTCAGTCCCGACTTTATATTTAAATTTAAAATTTAAAATATTAATATTTTAATTATATTTTCTTTTCTTTTTCTATTACATATAAGGTTATTTTTTTAATATTTTACCAATTTTTATTTATCTTCTACCCACTTTTAATTTTTTAATCTTTTATATCAATTAATTTATTACATTATTCTCTCTTACCTATGTTTTTTACATTTCCTTAATTTCTTCCATCAATTTATTTATTTTTTTTAATCTTTTTAATCAATTTGATCAACACAAAGTAATTTTTTTTCTTTTTCTTTTTCTAAATATTTTACATAAATCCTAATAATAACTAATATTATTTTATTTATAATTTATATTTATTAGGTTTTATTATCTCATATATTTTATTTTATTATTCTTATTTATCATATATCAAATTTTATCTTAATAAAATAATTTTATTTTAAAGGATTAAAAGAAATTGATAATTTAAACTTTTATTACTTCGAACTAATTAAATAAGAATTAATTTATTAAATATTTTCTTATAAATTATATATTTTATATTTTTAAATGATAACTTAAAAATAAATTAACTTATATATATAATTAAATGTTTTAATACAAGTATTATAATAATAATAATGTTATAAATATTCTCTATATATATAAATAAAAAATAATTAAATATTTTTATATTCATATTTTAATATAAATATAATAAATTAAAATATATATTTAATTAATAATAATTATAAATTATAAAATTATAAATATTTATTTATATATAAAAAATACATAATAAAATTAATTTATTATAAATGTAATTATCTTTTTAAAAATAATATAGATTGGGAAAGAGAGGGAGGCAGAAAACCCGAAACCTGGTGGAAATGGGGATAAAAAACGAGAACGAGAATGGTTAAAAAGTCGGAGATGGAGGATCGAGAGACAAAACCCGCCCTGCCCCACCGCACCCGTACCCGTTTCCATGCCTACGACACATAAATAAAATATCATTAGATCATTTAATGTTTGAAAGCTACTGTTACTTTCAAGTTTAAGAAAATGTTTCGTCCTACTAAAATATATATAGAAAAAATAATATAAAAATAATATATATATATATATATATATATATATATATATATATAATTTTCGTCAGTTTTTTTATTCTTTCATTAGCTGAAAAAGTTGTGGTCTCTAGTAGTATTTCGTAAATATTTTTTTAGTAGTTGTCTGCGGGTTAAAAACTTTATTAAAAATAACATTTTTAAAATTATTAGTTTCTAATTTATAACTTTGTTATATATTTTTTATTTTAATCTTAAAACATTTATTAAGTTTCTTTTTAACTTTTTTATATAATGTATTTTTTCTATTCATTCATAAAGTATAACTTCATTTCTTTTTCCTTTTAAAATCTATATTTCTTTCTATTTAATCCTTAAATATTAATAAATAAATAAATAAATAATTGTTCAAAGCAAATTTTATCTTTCATTATTTGAAGTAAATTCTTATATATTATCATATAATTTTATATTATATAATTTATTTTAACTAATGTGATATATCTAACATTTATTTAATTTACTTTTGCATGTTATATTTTGATATGGTAGTAATCATCTGTATGTATACTTTTATAATACATAGTTTATTTTAAATATTGTATTTTTCAATATTTTTTAATTATTTCATATTATACTTCAAAATATTAATATATGGTAGATTTGTTTTAATTGGTATAAGAAGAAAAATTAAGTATATTAGGATATTTTGCTTTAATATGTTTCACAACATACATAAATGAATATTTTTGTTTTAATTTAATTTATTGATATTATATATCAAGAATCATTATTTAATTAAAAGATATATTGTCTTATGTCATGTTAACAGTTGTACAAAATTATTAAACACATATAATTAAAATGTCTCATGAAACAAGTACTTTCTCTTTAGCAAGGAAGAACCTGAGTGCTTAAATAATTGCTATATTTTATGAAATCATTTATATGAGTAATTTATACTTACAAACATTACAAAATTTATGAGATTACAAAAAAATCAATCTATTAATTAAAAATAATAATTTTAAATTATTTTTGTTTTAAATCAATCACTTTATAAATATAATATTAATAAACAAATTTATTTTTGTCTTGTGATATAACATTAATTTCAGCATTCTTTTTTATTTTATAATGCATAAATAGTGACCAATATATTTATAATTGTGGTAAATGCTAAATTTTTTGCGCAATTGAATTTCACAATTTTGTCTTTTTTTTTACTCAATAATCACTCAAAAAAGCGATTTCATTTCAAAAGCAAATTCTTCTTAAATTTCAAAAGACCTTACCTCACCTGATAATTAAGTTTGAAAAAAAATATAAAAAAAAATCTAACAAATTTTCCGTGGATAGATATGTTTTGACGTAATGATATTGGCAATTTTTTTAGCAGAAAATTATTGCACAAGATATTAACAAATATATGCAATTTAATAGATATGAAATATTTTAATGTAATAAATTATCTTATATTGAAATAAGAAATGATTTTCACAGTCTCACATTAATTTTTTTTTTTAATGATTAAAAACATTGAACAATTTATACCTTTGTAACTTTTTATGTTAAAAATTAATTTTGTTTCAATTTAAAATATTAATTTTACATTTATAATTAAAAAAATCATTATAAGCAATCATGTATATTATAAGATATAGAGATCTTATATTTTCAAAAAAATAAATAAAAGTTTATGTAGCATAGACTTCTTAAAAAAATAAAATAATATATCTTATTTTTTTTTACAACTATATTAATAATATGAAATATTATTGATTACTTGATGATTAATTAAAAAAAAAAAAAAACACTCCCATCTTTAATTTTCAGTCACTTTTTCTTTTTTTCATTTGTAACACTGAAACCCATATCTTAATTAAAGATAGTCTGATACAAGTGACCCTTATTTTAGACTGCATCAGAAGCACAAGAAAATGATATGAAAATGAGTCAAGCAATGACAGAAAATAATATTAATGGCATTACCACTTGTAACAGTGCAGAAACTTTATTCCAAATGTAATTGATGTTAGAAGGATGTAATGAAATTCATTTGTTTCAAACTAGATACTAGTTTATGAGAAAAGAAACACTGACTTGGCCACATTGTATTGAGGGTATAACTCTGCAACTTTGTCCACAACATCACTAAAGTGACGAATAGATTCCACACAAGTGTCTTCCTGATGCTTTCTTGTTCTCAAGTGCCAAAATGTGTGCCAGAAAAATCTTCCTATGTCTCTTTCCCACCTGATATAAGACTTCATTATATCATACATATTATGTGCATGCTTTTCAAATCTCAGTTAAGAAGATACCTTTGAGAACACTAACCAGCACACCCATGCTTGAATTGATGGTTGGTGGAAGGAGAGGGCCCAATGCTGTGCCAACATCAAAACCTGTCTCCTTTGCAAACTCCCAACCTGCTTTTTCTGCCAGAGTCTTTGCAATCGGATAGTATAGCTGCAACAATGAATTCATCAAACGCATTGTCTTCATTCATCTGAGTTTTTTTTTCAACTAAGATATTATTAAGAAATGATTATGTAGTTAATTAATTATACATGACTCGTAGTAGATTATGTAGAGTTAAGATAAAAATTATTTATCAATTTAGCATAATTGAATATATATGTAGGTTATTTTCACACAAGCATGTTTTGAAAAAAGTTTCTCCCATCAATAATTCAAAAGAAAATCTGATAGGTTCAGATTGAGTAATATATAATCGTTTCAGAATCTAATATATTAATAAATATTCTTCTTATTAAATTGATATATTACATTCTCAACTGGTTACATATTACTTATCAACATATTATCCTCTAGTATAGTGATTGATCATTGATTTTGGGATTAAATAATATATTATTAATAAATAATAATAAAAAAAAAGATAAAAGATAAAAAGGTGAAAAGATAAAATTATAAATATATAATTAAATATATTAAATGATCATTAAGTTTAAAGGAGATAAAATCATAAATTAGATAAGAGTTACAAAGCTGAAGAGGGGTGAGAGGATAAAATTGTAAATATACAAATAAATATATTAAATATTCATTAAGTTTAGGGAGTAAAATCATAAATTACATAGGAGTTATAAAATTTTAGAGAGTTACGTCCCCTCAACTCCCAAGAAGATTCACACTGATATAGTACAAAATTCGATATAATAATAATAACAATACATAGTGAGTTTGATTAACTGATATTTTGAACGGTGGCGTGGACGGTGTAGCCACGCTGGAGGAGGAGGAGCACCACCCATGAATCCATGATCCTATCGCTCCGCTGGCTCCGGTGACGCAAACCACCTTGGACATGGTGATGCTGGCTTATGGTTTTAGCAACGCTTTGAAATGTGGTGCTTAAGGTGGTCATATTCCTAGTATATATAGAAGGTGGTGAAGAGAATAAATTGGAAAATATTTGACTTAAGTATTCAGGCACAAGAATTATTGTAATAGTAGTATTTTTATTAAAAAAATATTATTTCTATTATTTATTTTATATTGATTTAAGTAAGTATCAAAATATTTTTATATGTGTAGCTTTCAATATTTAATGCGATTTTAAAACAGATAGATGTTACTTTTTGAGTAGCCTAATATTAATATGACACTTTGTGTTGAAAAGTAATGCTCATTATCTTTTACTATGACTCTAACCAAAACAGCAAGTCCAGGTGTCATTTCAGAGACAGAGGACAAGTTAAAAATTAATTAAAAAGTAGTAACTTAATTCATAAAATAAGAAGTCACAACTCATTCGTCCCATCAGGTTTATAAACTTCATTCTCGCTGTCCTTATTATATCTAAAAATAAATATATACATAGGTAGGTAATATATTTTTGTTTTATTTTTTTATTATTATTGGTTTATAATTTAGAATATGTCTTTATTTACATTTAATTATTTTTAAGAATAAAAGTAAGTTATTTATAATTCTCATGTATATTTTTACGAGACTTTCTTATATTGCTGTCGTAATTAAAATTTTGATTGAACAATAAAATTAAATTAAAAAAAATAAAAATAAAATAATGGAGTCATCATTAATATTTATTTTAAGAAAAAAAATATTAAAAAATCTTAAAAAAATAAAATGATCTAAAAAATAAATATTAGATCCAAGAGTTGATTACATGTGATTATATGTTAGAAAAGTATTCTAAAAACGATTACATTTAATTACACGTGAAAAGTTAAATATCTTAAAATTATCTATTTTATCTTTCAAATTTATATATCTATTAAATATTTTTATTAAAAAAAATATATTATTATAGTTTTAGTTTGACAAAGATTATCTTAAAAATATTTGTGAATAATTTATTTTGATTCATCTATTTGTGTTACTAAGTTAAAAATATACCTAAAATTATTTTAAAGTTGAATGATTATGTAATAATCAAATTAAAAATATATATAAAATGATTATCATTTTTATAATTTGAGTAATAATTACATGATAAATGCATCCAAAGTAATCAATTATTAATATTTAAATATTTAAATTATTATATTTATAATTTCTATTTGAATTAAAAAAATATATATATATATATATATATATATATATTTTTTTGAAGTGATTATTATAACTTTATAATAACTAAAATAGATTTACATTCAAAATAGTTAAACTTTAGGAAATATTTTATTGCTACTCTATAAAATAATTTGAGGAAATAAAAATGATAATTATTGATAATATATTAATAACAATATACTAATTTAAATTAGTTTTAAGGAAGGAAATGAAATCATTTTTTATTTGAAATTTGAATAATAATAATAATAAGAAGAATAATCTTTTATACCATTATTATTTGTGGCTTATTTTTATCATGATATCTCAAGTTTACAAAATAAAACAAACAAACATTAGACCCAATAACTCATAAAATAAAAATTCTTTCATATATTGTTTTACTATTTAAAACTTATTTTATTATTTTCACCATCATAATTTGTTTTTTTTTATCTAACTTGGACAATTGGCACAAAAGTCTCTTGTCAATTTGCTATTGAAGGAAAAAAGAGATGAGAGTGAGGGGAAGCACAATGAGGATGGGAGACGCAACACGGTGGTCGCAGAGGTTTAGAGTTAGAGTTCGTGCAACGAGGAGTGAAGAGATGACATGCATGGTAAGAGATGATGTTGTAAGTGTGACAGTAGTTTGAGTTAAGGGAGGAGGTAAGGGTTGTGATGATATGTGACTCACTATGCTTATTTAGGATTCAGAGGAGGTGATTGAGTCACGGTTAGGATCGATGACGGATCTTGAATATTGAATTTGGGGGGCCAAATAATATATTATTAATAAATAATAAATAAATATAAAAGAAAGAAAAAATATGAAAGGATGAAAAGATAAAATTGTAGATATATACTTAAATATATTAAATGATCATTAAGTTTAAAGGAAACAAAATCATAAATTATATATGAAAGTTACAAAGCTGAGGAAAGACTTGAAAGGATAAAATTGTAAATATACAAGTAAATATATTAAATATTCATTATGTTTGAGAGGGGCTAAAATCATAAATTATATGGAAGTTACAAAACTTTGGGGGGCCCACGGCCCCCCTCAGCTCCCAAGAAGATTCGTCACTGGTTAGGATGAGAGTGGTTAAATTGAGGTGCCTTATGGTGGCACGAGTGCCAGCCACAATGGCTAAGGAGGAGAAGTGATAACGGTTTTGGTGCGGGGTAGGAGAGGGTTCATGATTTTGGAAGAAAAGATTAATGGTCTAGTTGGGCGGTTTACGGTGGCCTCGCAATGAAGGTCGATTCAAGTGGCGAATCTTGACCATTGATTTGAGGAGTCAAATAATATATTATTAATAAATAAATATAAAAGGGTGAAAGAATATGAAAATGTGAGAGGATAAAATTGTAAGTGTATAAATAAATATATTAAATGATCATTAAGTTTGAGGAAACAAAATCATAAATTATATGAGAGTTAGAAGTGATAAAAAGGATAAAATTGTAAATATACAAGTAAATATATTAAATGATTATTAAGTTTGGGGGACCAAAATCATAAATTACATGAGAGTTACAGGGGTTGCGACCCCCCTCAACTTCCAAGAAGATCTGACACTAGTCGATTCTAATGAGGGTAAAACGGAGGTGGTTGTGTGAAGGTTACACCAATGAGGGTATAAGCCATATGTGGCTGGATTATGACTCGTGATCCACAATGAAAGTGAGGGAGCTAATGATTAGGTTGTGGGTGAAGAAGAAATAGAGTATAAGAAGGGAAGGAGAGTAGAGACAATACGATAATCTTTTTTAGGATAGTCATTGATAAAAGAGATAAGTAGATTTTTATTTATTTTTAATTTTTATTAATTTTTTTAATATATACCATAGGAAAAAGGTAAGTGGATTGTTATTTGTTTTTAATTTTTATTAGTTTTTTTTTTAAATATGTACAGTCTGAAAATACATAAAGAGTGGATTGGAAACCTGTATAAGTTTCATTGAAATGAGTATTATTGATTATGTAGGAGTTTCGCTAAAGTGAGCGTTATTCTTAGATGTGTTGTTGGGTTTGTATTTGTTATTATCAAAACTACCACAATTAAAAACATCAATTTTCTATCTATACTAATTTATTATACGTGTCATATATTACATAATCATTTATTAGGACAAAAAATTGTCATATGTTTTAATTGCATGTTACCACAGAGCCACCAATATCTATTCCAGTCACCCAACACAATTCTGCTTCAATTCTGCTTCAATCACTAACATTGTCCTGTTTGTTACTAAAAAGTCACAAACATCTATTGCTCCAGCCACCAACACAGCCCTGCTCCGCCCATCATCAGAATCCTGCTCCAATCACCGTAATGCTGCTCTAACTACCAACAAATTAATGTGATTATGAAAAATTAGTGGACTTATTAGAATTGGACAGCAGTGTAGTATGGTGGGCTTTTGAGGGTCATAATAGCAAAGAACAAAAAATGATGAAATGATTTGTCCGCAAAGTGGAGAACGTGTCATGAACGTGTCATCAATCATTTTAAAAGAGGAATAAAAAACGTATGGTCCACTATGCAATGTGGCCTAATAAAAATGATTTTTAGTTAATGTAATTTCACGTCAAATTAAAAATAGTATTTTTGTGAAAATTCAAGTAAAAATAATTTTTATATTTTTAAATGATGATAATAGGTTCTTGTTTTAAATCGCGTTAAATGTATAATGATATGTCTAATAGATATAATAAGACTCATTCATTATTTGATACGTGTAATTATTTAAAAAAAATAAAACTCTTCTTTCAAAAAAAGAAATTATTCAACAGATATTATTATTAAAAAAAACAAAATTAAAAAGTATAAGTTTTTTGTTCTCCACACACCACCAAAATTCTTTGGTTCTCGTCACAAACATTTTTCATTATCTTTTCTTTTCCTGTCACAGATATTTTTCGTTCTCACTTCTTTTCTCGTCATACACCAAAGATCTTTTCTTTCTTCCTATTTCTCTGTAAAGGTTGTATGAAGTCAAAGCGACTTTAAAGTTTGAGGGTTTCATCAGCTTTTTATGGTTCGACCGGTAGTGCGACGGTAGTGCATAACGGCAGTGTAAGATGGTATATACCATAGTTAGGGTTTTCATTTCCGAAAATTAAGATAATAAAGTTTAAATGACTTATAAACGACATAGAAGTTTAAAATTCTTTTTAAATAACTTTTAAATATTATAAATGCGGATTTAAATGATTTTTAAAAGCTTGACACCTTTTAATTTTATTTTTTTTAAATAATTACACATGTCAAATAATAAATGAGTCATATCATTTTTGTTAGACATGTCGACGTATACTTAAAGCCGTTTAAAATAAGAATCTATTTCAATTATTTCTAAAGTATAAAGATTATTTTGATGTGAACTATAATAGAAGAACTATTTTCAATTTCACATAAAAGTACAACGAATACAAACATTGTTAACCCTAAAAATAACAATAATAAAAAAAAGAGAAAAATCAAGATTGAGTGCATAGTACTGCGTATTTTTTTTTCCAGGATATAATATATATTATAACACTTCTTTTCAATTAAAGTTTTCTCCGCATATTTTCCTTTCATTACTTCTCTTGAATTGAAATTTTTTTAGTATGATTATTTTTATACAGTTCACTTTCTTATTAAACGAATATATTTTCTTAAATACTCAATAATAATCTTATTTATACATTATTTAATAAAAAAAATTGCTTGAATGAAATTTTTATTAAAA